GGGGGTTACGGTGCTTGCATCTGCATGAGGGTGTGGGACATGGTTTCAGTTTGGTGGGAATTAATTTAGAATTGTGCCCGGACGGCGGGAGCGACGATGACAAACGTGATTGGAGAGTTAGGAGGGGAAAGGAGATAATTGTAGAGAACATTTTCTGTCGCTGTCAGGTTTCAAACCTGGGACCTGTTGAATGAGAGGCAAACACAGTACCTGGAGACCACAAGAGCCCCTTGCTCCTTTCTTGTCTGATATCTGTCCTCCTTATCTCTCCTCCTTATCTCTCCTCCTTATCTCTCCTCCTTTTTTCTTTATCCTTTCTTGTCTGACATCTGTCCTCCTTATCTCTCCTCCTTTTTTCTTCTTTCTTGTCTGAATCTGTCCTCCTTATCTCTCCTCCTTTTTTCTTCTTTCTTGTCTGACATCTGTCCTCCTTATCTCTCCTCCTTTTTTCTTTATTCTTGTAACACCTCTAATCTTCAGCACTTATATTATATCCTTTTTGTGTTGCAAGTGCTGTAAAACGTATTAAAATTAAAACAAAATTTTTCTGAAAAGATTTGGTGTTAGGTTGTCCGAAGGTTTAAGATTTGGTTTATTTGTTGACGATGTCCTGATGTTTAAGATTTGTTTATTTGTTGAAGACATTGTCCTGATGTTTAAGATTTGGTTTATTTGTTGAAGACATTGTCCTGATGTGTAAGATTTGGTTTATTTGTTGACGACGATTTGGTTTATTTGTTGATGATGTCCTGATGTTTAAGATTTGGTTTATTTGTTGACGACGATTTGGTTTATTTGTTGATGATGTCCTGATGTTTAAGATTTGGTTTATTTGTTGACGACGATTTGGTTTATTTGTTGATGATGTCCTGATGTTTACGATTTGGTTTATTTGTTGACGACATTGTCCTGATGTTTAAGATTTGGTTTATTTGTTGACGACGATTTGGTTTATTTGTTGATGATGTCCTGGTGTTTATGATTTGGTTTATTTGTTGATGATGTCCTGATGTTTAAGATTTGGTTTATTTGTTGACGACATTGTCCTGATGTTCGCAGACGGACAAGAGAACTGGTCAGCCAAAAGTCTGGATGTACAAGGACAAGATGACCAGCATGCCGAAGGGGGAAGCCACTGTGACCTTTGATGACCCTGACACAGCCAAGGCCGCCATTGACTGGTTTGACGGTAACTTGAACATGTATTGCTTGTCAGTGTGGGGGCTCTTGGGGAGATTGAACTGATCCTTTGGGGAGATGGAGCTGGTGATGCCTGACTGGGGGAACAGTTGTGTTACTGGGTTGGAAGAAATGGAAGAACAGTTGTGTTTTTGGGTCAGTGTGACAATGGACAATGGACCAGGTACTTCTCTTCTGTGTTGCTGGACTTGTGAACAATGGGAACTGATTTGCAAGTTTAAAAAAAAATTATTACAAAAAGCTTTAAATAGGCTAAAATGTCACAACTTATCTAAAAATGGATAGTTATGACAAATTTGTCCCAACAGAATTGCTGTGATTTGGTTGTAGGACTAGTATCTTTAGTTCCTGTGCCGAGGGATACGAGTTGATTAGTGGAAGGGTTGGTTCCTGTGCCGAGGGATACTAGTTGATTAGTGGAAGGGTTGGTTCCTGTGCCGAGGGATACGAGTTGATTAGTGGAAGGGTTGGTTCCTGTGCCGAGGGATACGAGTTGATTAGTGGAAGGGTTTTTTGCATTGAAACTGGTTTGAAGGCGTTGGTACTGATTTCTTTGTTGGCCTTTTATTTTTCAGGCAAGGACTTCAACGGCAGGACGATCAAAGTAGAACTTGCTCAGAGGCAGAGGAGTGCATTCGCGCGGGGAGGACCGAGGGGAGGTCGAGGTGAGTGCTGTGTCAGCTGTTGGCTCCGGGTTTGTTCTTTGTCTTGTTAATACATCTTTTGTTCTTTGTCTCATTTGTTAATACATCTTTTGTTCTTCGTCTCATTTGTTAATACATCTTTTGTTCTTTGTCTCATTTGTTAATAGTAGGGGCGGCTCGTGGGGCTAAAAAGTGGGCGTGCACAATTAAGCTATCTTAGGCTGAAGATAGTCAAGGGCAGAGTAAATGAGATTTTGTATAATTTTTGGATCTTTGAGTTGGTGAGGGAGGACGTAGTGCTTCTATGTTCATTCTTTTTACTTCTCGCTTTGATTTCTAGAACTAAATCTGTTTGTTAGTTAAATATCAATTTTGTTCATCCTGTATCGGAACTGAACACTCAAGTAATACCTTTCACCACTCCACTACAAAACCATTCAAAGGCACAACTCGTAGGACCGTGACTTAAGTATGTCTCGTTCACCTCCCTCAGGTTTACGGTCACAGAGTCACTTAAAATAGTACAAGGCAATGAACCAATCACAGTTCACTTGAGCACTACGCTGGATTGCTCCGGGGATGACATAATTTTGACATTGAATAGGCCTAGTGTATGGGCTTAACAGGCTATCACGTTTATTTTTAGACTTCCTGCTGTGGGCTATCCAAGACACGTCTTAATGTGTCTTGGGGGCTATGTTTCGTTGGTGCACATTTCAGATGTGCCGTCTTATTAATATTAATGTACGGCTACGAGTGTCGTCATCGCTCGGGTTATCCCAAAGAACGATTTATAGGTCAGATAGCCACTGTTTAATATTCTATTACGTTTAGTTAAAGCACATGGACTTTGGCAAGGCATAGTAGATGTTTTAGGGCGCTTTTGATACAGAAATGACAGTTACAGCTCCAGCGAGGACCTTGTTTTGATATTATATTTGGCTAGTGTTTGTTTCTGACTTCTTTTATTTCATGTTTGTGGGTGCTTTTCGTCATAGAACATTAAAAAAATTTGGGCGGCACTGCACGACCGTGCTCTATGGACGAATCGCGCCTGGTTAATACATCTTTTGTTCTTTGTCTTATTTGTTGATACATCTTTTGTTCTTTGTCTTATTTGTTCTTTGTCTTATTTGTTCATACATCTTTTGTTCTTTGTCTTATTTGTTGATACATCTTTTGTTCTTTGTCTTATTTGTTAACAGATCTTTTGTTACTTATATAGTATATCTTTTTTTTCTTTATCTTATTTGTTAATATATCTTTTGTTATTTATCTTATTTGCTAACAGATCTTTTGTTCTGTGACGTTTCAATAAAGACAAAAGGATAGCCTTTTTGATAGGATGTCTTTCTGTGTATGAAGTCTGTTATTTGTACGGAATTCCACTTTAACAGCAAAAGATTTGTGAAAGCTTCCTATCTTGGTGATTGTTTGGTTAATGTGTTTGTGTCGAACAAACATCCCAGTTGTTGGAAATGAGGGCACATTCTTGTAGCAAGTTCAATGTGTGTGTGTCGGACAAACATCCCAGTTGTTGGAAATGAGGGCAAGTTCAATGTGTGTGTCTCGGACAAACATCCCAGTTGTTGGAAATGAGGGCAAGTTCAATGTGTGTGTGTCGGACAAACATCCCAGTTGTTGGAAATGAGGGCAAATTCAATGCTGAACACGCTCATTTTTTGTCCAATATTTCGAGTAGTTTTTCAGATGTGTAGCATTTTGTAACACAGTGTTGAAAATCAAAGTTTGGAGAAAACCCCACTCTGTAAGGTCTTGAAGCACGGGGAAGTACAGCGTGTTGCACAAATAATCCACTCTGTAAGGTCTTGAAGCACGGGGAAGTACAGCGTGTTGCACAAATAATCCACTCTGTAAGGTCTTGAAGCACGGGGAAGTACAGCGTGTTGCACAAATAATCCACTCTGTAAGGTCTTGAAGCACGGGGAAGTACAGCGTGTTGCACAAATAATCCACTCTGTAAGGTCTTGAAGCACGGGGAAGTACAGCGTGTTGCACAAATAATCCACTCTGTAAGGTCTTGAAGCACGGGGAAGTACAGCGTGTTGCACAAATGATCCACTCTGTAAGGTCTTGAAGCACGGGGAAGTACAGCGTGTTGCACAAATAATGGAGAGGCATCCAGGGGAAATCGTAGAAACCGAAGAAACCGACATTTTGTCACCGGTTTGAACGTTTTCATGGAATTTGTATTCTTTCGCTCAACAACTTCTATGTCCATTGAAAAACAAGTTTGTGTGTAGATTTTTCTGAAAGACGGGGATCAAAGGCACAAAAAACAAGTTTCCGAGGACTCTTTAGCTTTTTAAACTTTGGCGGCCATTCTCTTGCTACTTTAACCTGTGAAACCAGCGCCCCACCCCCCCACCCCCTTTAATCGCAAATATCTCTACTTGATTCCAAATACCTGGGTATTTTTTTCCTCCAAAGCAAGGCAAATGAACAAGCTTTAAGATGATACGAATTGCTCCACATGCCCAAAAATTGACGGGCGCCTGATTCCGCAGCCTGGTGACACACAATGCATATTTTGACTGAAAATAGAAAGTCCTGTCAGTTTGTTCTCAAGAAATGGCTAAACGTTTTCTAATGGAACTAACTTTTGTACCAGCTACCACTTTTTTCTCCTGTTCACCCTGTTGCTCTAGGATAGCTTTGTCAACCACAGGGACCTTTTACCAGGCACACACAAATGATGGGCACATTTGAAATATTTTACTAAAATGTTCGTTTGTTGTTTTTTTTCTTTTTCTCTCCAGGTGGCGGCTATGGCGGACGAGGGGGAGGTGGAGGGGGAGGTGGAGGTGGCGGTGGACGGGGAGGTACGATGATTGTTTTAGATCATGGGGCAGTCTTTACAGGGTTTGTTCTTTGAGATGTGGTGGCGGTGGACAGGGAGGTAGAGTGATTGTTTTAGTCGACCACTTTTGTCTTCTGTTTCTGGCCTGTAGGTCATGGGGCAGTCTTTACGTGGTTGGCTCCATGAACCTATTTAATCGGGGCATCCTGACTTTTTGCCCCAAATGTCAAGCATTCAGATTTTCCCGATTTGGATTGCCTGTATCCTGATTTTTGTCGTTGTGTCCGATTCTTAGAAAAAACTTTTTTTTTTTGTTGCTTTCTCTTTTGCTTCCAAGCACCAATTGAACTTTTTAATTAGCAGAAACTTGAAGCTCTTTTATAAAACATCTATGCCGGATCTAGTAATTGGCCTGCATACATTTATTATTAATAGATAGCATTTAGCTCTTTATTACCCCAGCAGACCTGAGAGCTTTCTAAAACAACCTCAACTTCCTGGGAAGCATACAGTCCAAGCAGCCGTTTATAGGCGCTAGAACACTAACATACTGACAAGATATTTCGCTGTCTATGGCTGGGTACCCATTCCCACCTGGGTGAAGTGAGGAATATTCGTGTAAAGTGCTTTTCCCAAGGACACAACGTCGGGCCCGCGGCTCGAACCCCTGAACCTGCAGCCTCATGATAACGAGTGCGGTAGCCTAAAACTGGAATAATATCCATTTGGAATTTTGACTTGGGGTCTCTCAAGATGTACTTTCACTTTTGTTACCCAGAATTCTCCAATGAGGTCCTGACAACTGTAACAATATGGCAGAGGCTTACAAATAATCAATATTTTTTGTTGTTCTGCCGTTGTTTTCAAAGCAAGCTTGGTCGAAGTTGTGGTTAGTCTGGCGCGTCTGGTTTCCCAGGAGAAGAGCTTCTCTTTAGTTAACTGGCACATGTCAGGGGAACAGATACACAGTAGGCCGTAGTCAGTGGCTCTCACTCCATAGACAGATACACAGTAGGCCGTAGTCAGTGGCTCCAACTCCATAGACAGATACACAGTAGGCCGTAGTCAGTGGCTCCAACTCTATAGACAGATACACAGTAGGCCGTAGTCAGTGGTTCCAACTCCCTAGACAGATACACAGTAGGCCGTAGTCAGTGGCTCCAACTCCCTAGACAGATACACAGTAGGCCGTAGTCAGTGGTTCCAACTCTATAGACAGATACACAGTAGGCCGTAGTCAGTGGTTCCAACTCCACAGAATGTGGCTATGCAATCTTGTGGTCAAGTGAGGAGTTGCTGGGCTTGCCTTCTGCTCTACTGTTGAAGCTAGAGACATGAGCAGAGTAAGCCTGATTCCCCGTTTGGACTTTTCTGTTGACGTCCACCCTTTGACGCTCATATGACCTTATGCAGTTGCGAGCACAAACAAATACTTAAGTAAAACTCTGTGTATTGTGTGTACGTTGGCCAACATTGTCCGTTTGTCGTGTGGTCTCACTGTGTAATCCCTACATAAAGTTTTCCATCTTGGACTCGTGTTTGGCTAAAAGCTTGACTTGAACATAGCAAAAGGTAGATTTGACCATCTGGGAAGTTGTGAATTGGTCCCACTAGTGAGAAAGAATGAGAGAAGTTTTACAAAGTTGCTGTTGTTGTTTCCCTGGCCAGGTTTTGGCGGTGGCGGCGGCGGCGGCGGCGGAGGACCTGCCAGAGAGGGCGACTGGACGTGCCCAGAAGAGTGAGTAGAGAGTAGACCTCCGCTGAGGACTGTTGGCTGTTTGCGACACAGACAGTACAGCACTGGAGATTTTAGGCTTCATCGTTCTTGTGTTTAAATACAGTACAACACGTATATTCTATTCAAATACTACACAATACGTATATCTATGCTAATACAGTATAACAGGTATATTCTATTCAAACACGTATATTCTATTCAAATACTACACAATACGTATATATCTATGCAAATTCAGTACAACACATAAATTCTATTCAAACACGTATTATGCAAATACAGTACAACACGTGCTTTCTATTCATGTTCTACTGTATTTGGAAAAAGAAAGTATTGAGTATTGTGATAATTGTGCGCAGAGACAGATGATGAAAGTATTGAGTATTGTAATAATTGTGTGCACAGACAGATAATGAAAGTATTGAGTATTGTGATAATTGTGTGCACAGACAGATAATGAAAGTATTGAGTATTGTGATAATTGTGTGCAGAGACAGATAATGAAAGTATTGAGTATTGTGATAATTGTGTGCAGAGACAGACAATGAAAGTATTGAGTATTGTGATAATTGTGTGCAGAGACAGATAATGAAAGTATTGAGTATTGTGTGCAGAGACAGATAATGAAAGTATTGAGTATTGTGATAATTGTGTGCACAGACAGATAATGAAAGTATTGAGTATTGTGATAATTGTGTGCACAGACAGATAGTGTGTGCTCTGGTGTGAAGTTCAAGTCCGGTTGTCTTACCTCACTGAGCACCACTCTCCGATTTGCCTCCAAGCCTCAGGGGACCACCCATTTCCCCCACTTTTTGAAAATTCATAAAAAATTGAAATGAAGGGCGAAATTTTCTGTGCTATTTCATAAGAAATGGGTACAACAGACACATTAAACACATTTTGTGAAGAATGAATGACCAAAAAAATGTATGGGACAGAAAGTTGGGACAAATTTGCCCCAGAAAAACAAGTGTGTGTTTGTGTGTAGGAGAATGAAACATGAGTGTGCACAGTGAAATAGCAGAAAAATGGAAGTGATCATTAATTTGGAAAAAGAAAGACAATATAGATCTAGATCTTCCTCGGTGACAGGGTGAGAAGTGCTTTCATTGTTAGTGCTAGGGCTAGATGTGTCAATGGGTGTCCCAGGTCTGGGTACATTTATATCTTGTCCACTTTGAGGGCTGATTTGAACTAGAGTTTAGTACTGTGGCTAGATCTATCGTCATCCCCAGCCGGACCAGGCTGCGTACTCGCTGACCAGTCAGATTCACGATCAAGAGATGATGTTGGTCTGGACTTAGATCTAGTTAATGTCATTTTCTCAGTCATCTTCATCACTGCTAGGCGAATTCACATTTTGATTTATGAAGTTATCTATCTAATACTTCACTGTCTCTTAAATTTTCACCCAAATTATCGAGAGTTTCAATAAACTTCAACACAACTCGCCGCGCCGTGTTTCGCATACGAGAAACAACAACAAACTGCACGGAAGTTCTTTACTTTCAGTTGTTCAGTCCGTTGGACAAATAACCCGTTTATTCGCACTAAAAGTGGTGAATATACACAAACCACAAAGAACTAGCTTGTCCATATCCTGTTTAAATCACTGGGGCTATTTGCAAGCATTTTTAAACTGCTGAGTTTACTTTATAGTCAGATATAGTTGAACCCGCGTACGCTGCGGTACATTCTCACTGACTTGGTATGTCTGTATATTCTCACTGACCTGGTATGTCTGTATATTCTCACTGACCTGGTATGTCTGTATATTCTCACTGACATGGTTTCTGTATATTCTCAGGGACTGCAGCAACACCAACTTTGCCTGGAGAGACTCGTGCAACAGATGCCACGCCCCGCGGCCGGGCGGTGGTGGTGGTGGGGACGACAGAGGTTAGTGTCTCATGTACAGTCTGGCATACACATTACCAACAAGGCACATGGCAAACAGATATGCGTAACCTCTATTGTTTCTTATTCTTTGGATTCAAAACACACACACACAGTGAAAACAATTGGTGCCTAGCAGAAAGATTTGGCATCAGTGGGGAATGTAACACTTTTTTTCAATCCTGAGGTGTTGACTTTATCAGAATTCCTGTTATTTGTTTTATTTGTAATTAACCCTTAAAACCTTGAATTCTTTTTTTTCCTACCTCCCTAGAATCTTGAATTAAAATTGAGATACTAGAAACAATTAGGTTGGTTCATTGTTTTGTTTATGGTCTTTAATTGTTAGATTTGACTGAAGTTTGAAAATGTTCTTTATATATGAATGCACAGTCTGAACAAAAGGGGAAAAGGTAAAAACACTGGTTTTTAGGACCAACTCTAAGAGTTAAGTCTTGTGTGTGATCCCTGACTCCACTTCAGTCAAAGTATCATTAGACCCAGTTGTAGATCTAGCCTCTGGTAGCTTAAGTGGTGATCCCCTGCCAATTCCACTATCGTCAAAATCATCATCGATGTTATGCAAACATTGCAATTATCTTTAACGGTCATATTTATTGATATATCCGACTGGGAGATCATTATTGGGGTCTGGTTCAGGATAAAAAATGTCAAAAATTTTGCGAAAAGTGACAAATTTTTCTTAAAGACTCGCTAAATTTCCAAACTTTCAGTGTAGAACTGCTCTCATGACATTATCGGTACTTTCTGCTCGCGACAGAGTCATCTGGAGTTACATCCCCTGTTTCTAGCACTGGGAATTAAACGATAAAGTCGACCAGCGGTATAGGGTTTTAAGGGTTACGACATTTTTTTAAGAAAGAGTGTATTCAATATTTGCTTGTATGATTTACGGTTATTTTTTAGTGAATGTAGAACTGACAGTCAAACCGGTGTAAGATGGCCACCCAATGCCAAGTCTATTCTATTCTGTTGTGTGTTGTGATACGGATACCTTGTTTTTCCTGGGATACTGATACCTTGTTTTTCGTGGCGTACTGATACCTTGTTTTTCCTGGGATACTGATACCTTGTTTTTCCTTGATATGATACCTTGTTTTTCCTGGGATACTGATACCTTGTTTTTCCTGGGGTACTGATACCTTGTTTTTCC